AGTATGGGTTCACTGCAGTGCAATTACCTGTAAAGCTTATACTTTTAACATTATAAATTATATCTTTTTTAATCTGTTTCTTATATACGCGAACACGGTCGGCTAATTTAGTTCCTCTTTGCCCTTTATAATTTTCCTCACTTTAGGGCACATACGTCATACAATATATGATTTTTGGATTAACACGTCATTAAAGATTTTACGTCATTCACGTTAAACTCCATTCCATTTTTTAAAAATCATGGATTGGTCGGTTTGCAATGCTTGACAGGTTCCGCATCGTGGATCATTGCACTTTCAAACTTTCGGTTTTTCAGGGATTGATGTAAATTTGGCTGTAGTAAGATTTTTATTAAATACGGAGGTTGCCGCCTGCTTTGAAATCAATCATTTGATTCAATAAGGTCCCTTAATGTTTCTGATTGTTGAAGATTGATTGATTGATTGTATACTGTTTAATGTCCCTCTCCAGAATATTTCACTGATATGGAGACGTCAGCATTGCCGGTGAAGGTCTGCAAATTTAGGCCTATGCTCGGCACTCAGGGCCATTGAGCAGGGAGGGATCTTTATCGTGCCACACCTGCTGTGACACGGGGCCTCGGTTTATACGGTCTCATCCGAAGGACCGCCCCATTTAGTCGCCTTTTACGACAAGCAAGGGGTACTGAGGACCAATGCTAACCCGAATCCCCACGGGGCCTGATTGTTGAAGAATAGGGAAAATTAGCAGTTTTATAGAGATTTCAGCATTTTTCATCCAATGGAAATCAGCGAAACCAAATTGCCGTTTTTAGACATACTTATTATAAAATAGGGAAGAAAACTCATAACGGTACTCTACTAAAAGAGCACATACTCCCATCAATATTTGATTTTCAACTTATCCCCTTTAATATGGACAGGCGAATTAATATTATCGTTATAGATGAGGATTTCAGGAATAGTCTTAGTTCAGACAGCCTTGTATTTCTGCGATCCTCGTCTAATAGAAGAACAAAAGTACACATTCGCCTGGCTATATTAAAGGGGAGATTTTGTTTGGTATGGGAGGGATGGCATGAGATGAAAATCAAATATCAATATATTTTCCCTACAGTTACAAATGTGGATGATACCTTTTTTTAACCCTGTGTAAGAAATGAGAATATAGATTGATATATTGCTAATAATTTTTTACAGGAAATAGTTCTGTAATATCATCAACATTTGACATATCATTGATGTATAAAATAATAAGAAATACAACAAAAGTCAGAAAACCGATAAAAGATTGGGGAGAAACTCCAGATGACACAGATGTGGAACCTGCTGACGACCTTGAACGAGTCCGGATCCAACGAAACTCACTTTGTCATGGCCCTCAGTCAATTAGCGACAATGAATTTGAAAAGAAATGGAAAGAACTTAAGGAAGTAATGTGTTAATCTTTCTAATACTGTATATTCCTAATTTTTGCGAGTAATTTTATCGCAAACTGGCGATAACAATTCGGCAGTTTATCATGGTTTCGAGTTAAGTTTTCGCCTTAGAAATTCTCTGTTCATCTGTCAGTTGGCTGGACATACTTATTCTTCAGTGTATGTAACCTTTTTTCACCTCTGCTTTTGCTCTGTTCCTGATTTGTAATCTTTAAGGAAGGTCTATTCTTCTACGGACCGGATTTACTTCCCTACACTTATTTCTAGTATATAACTCTTTTTAGTACATGAATGTCTATTGAAATGATTTTGTTAAATGATTGTTAACAATACTGCTAGTATGTGATTGTTGATCGAAGTGCTGTTTTGTACAAGGCATCTACTACATATATGATATATTGAAATTAACACTAAAAATGCACTCTGTTCATTGTATTTACATGTATTTGTCATTTTATACAGACACACGCACAAACACAAAATTCTTAGTTGCCTGTATAAACTATAAAATCTTAAGCATTTTTCAAACAAATTGACTTGAAATCAATTGTCAATTTTATTTGAAAATAACATTTTCACCATCTGTACCATCTATAAGATGGTATATATATTTGTAAAACTTTATATACCTTAAATGGGTATATACATGTTCAAAAGACCCAATTTACAAAAATCAGTCTAGTCCACCATAATAAACTATGTGTTTTAGTAACCCTAGATATAATTCTAAATAATTTTAAAGATAAAAATGGCATGTAATTAATTTACATTTTAAGATTATGCAACATTAAGGTATTTTAAGATTTATTTCTAAATAAAGTAGACAGAATCAAAATCAATTTTTTTTTATGTTTTCCACCGAAAATCATATGAAAATTTAATATTTGGATATTTCTTAAGCTTTGATTGAAATTTGATACACTTTGGTTCATAACTAAATAATATTGGTCCATACTTCTCTACATTAACTTTGAAAGCTTTGTTGTTAGATAACCATTAACATTAACGTCTTCTCTTCTAGAAAAAAATTCAGAATTTGACTTTTGAGCATGATTAGTTTTTGCAAAATATCTACATATTCATGCTAATTTTGATTGATTGATTGATTGTATGTTGTTTAACTTCCCTCTCGAGAATATTTCACTCATATGGAGACGACACCACTTGCCGGAAAAGTTACAAATTTTGTCCTATACTCGGCACTCAGGGCCAATGAGCAGTGAGGGTTCTTTTTCGTGCCAGCACCTACTGTGACACGGGACCTCGGTTTATAAGGCCTCATCCAAATGACCTGTCTCCACGTCCCACAGTGGGATTGCTAATTTTGAATATATCTATCAATTATAAATAGTTTAGTATTAATATCTTCTGACAAATAAGTGGAATTTAAGGTAATAGCAACTTTTTTTAAAGTCCGCATCTGGTAAAATCTATGATCATTATCATGACCCTTTTTTAAAATGTTTCCCATCTTTGGGTCGTTATTTTATTTTATTCTATCTTATCAAAACATACGAATTACGATGGATATGACCATTCAACAGGGGATATTTTCTCCTCTCAAGCACTAGATTAGCTATGAAATTTTGAAAGATTTTTCTACAATGTACGTAAGCCTTGTTTTATATGAGTAATTGTATTTTATTTAAGATAATACAAAGACTTGCTGGAGGCCAGTTACTCGGAGATGTAGAATCTCTACAAAGCAAAGACTTAGATCACTCATCACGGGCATCTGTTAAGAGTCTCCTCGCGGTTCTGACAGCAAGAGTTCAAAACGTGGAAAAATATGCAGTGGATCATATTCCAAAAAACATCAAAAGGAGGTACACCTTATGATTTTTAAGGCTATTACTAAATTTGTTAACATATACAGTTCCTCCATAAAAAAGACACTTTAGGGAATCAAAAATATATTTTTTTAAATATAAACAGAAATTTGAATGTCTTATCAGGAGAATAATGGCATAAACATATATTTTTTAATGGAAATGGATTGTAATGCAAGAGAAAAATAACCAGTGTTGTCAGAACAACAAAATACAAAAAAGTCTTAATATGAACGTTATCTAACTTCGTTATTTTTTAAAATTCCCGCCAAACACAATGCACGTGATAGATAAAAATAAAGTAAAACATAAATGTACACTTCACAAAATTACGATGATGCTGATGATTTTAATGGTCAAAACTGGTCAGTGAATTCGTCTAATTTAAATTTTAATTTTAATTCAGAGTTGCTGAATTACTTAGTTACAAAAAATAAATCAGTTTCAAATATCAAGGAGTATTTATTTTTATCATTTCTCTAGAACAACATGAAAGAGAAATACGGAAATGGCGAGAGATGGATAGACTTTTCTGGACAACGGCTGCTTACCAAAAAGTCCTTGATAAAATCAGATCCTCGCCTTTTGTGACAATGGTAATGGCAGTGGTGGTAGAGGAAAAACTTTTCTCATTCGTCACATAGCTCTGGAGCTTGCTCAAGACGGATTTGAGATAATTCCAGTTTCAACACTTGAACAGGTCATCCTGTATGGACAACTAAATTTCAAGCAATTATTCATTGTAGATGATGTATTAGGTGTATATGGTCTAGATATCAGTCTGTATAACAGTCTTAGTAGACAGTCTGATAATGTGTTAGACTTACTAGAAACAGGATCAAAATTACTGATGAGTTGTAGATCAGTTGTGTTTAATGAGTCCAAACTACTAAATAGTTTTGTTACAGATGACAATCATGTCATTAATTTAGATGACAAAAGCAATGAACTTAATAGATCAGGAGACATGTGAAAAACATGTTACAGAATCACTGTAAATATAAAAATGTAAGGGAAGTATGCTTTGAAAAGTTAAAGTTACCTAGCATATTACCAATGTTCCCTCTGCTGTGTAGGGTATTCTCATCTACTGAAAAATATCAGGCAATGGGGGATAACTTTTTTCTGGTTCCGTACCAGTGTATGTTTTCTGACCTTGATAACATGCAAGAGCCAACAAAGTTCATTACGCAGGTTTGGTGTATTGTGTGATTAAGGATAATTGTGTCCGTCCTAAATCCTTTGATAGGAATTGTCTAAAAGACGTGCTTGAATGCTGTAGACTAAGCCAGTCAACGTCTAATTCGAAACTTGTACATGCAATGCAGGTATTGAAGGGATCTTATCTGACGCAAGACGCAGAAGGTAGATATTTTTTCATTCATGATAATTTCTTTGAAATTGTTGCAGTTCACTTCGGAAAACGTTTTCCAGAATGCCTTATTAAACATTATACCTCCTGCTCTATTTACAAACTTCTAACAATTGAGAACACGATATCGGAAATCAAGGACGATATGATCCCTATCTTTGGGCCCACTCTTTGGCACTGGTAGACCGAATCCTTTGTGACATTAAAGATTTCAAGTTTTATGAAGTATTTAGCAGAATAGGACATTTCTGGAAATGCGAAAAATTTGTTTCAACAGTTTGTGGAACTTTGGAAAAATTAAACTTTGGTGAAATTAGGCAATTATTATTTGACGTTCAGAAGTGTGAGCATGAAGACAAAAGGCAACCATTTACGAAAATGCTAGAAGATCAAATGAATGAAATGTTTGATAAAAGAAGAGAATTAGGAATTGATAAGAGATATGAGTGTAAATTTCAAATTTTGCATAAATATTCCCCCAGAGTCATAACCTGGATTATTGCATATGGCTATGTGAATCTTTTGTCTAGAATTATAAAGATTGTCGAAAGTAAAAGTCGTTTTATAGGAACAACAGGTTCCGTCAACGATGACATTTCAAAAGACATCTCAGAAGTAGTGTTCGGTACCAGTCTGGAATTACAATCTGTTTGTTTCACACTATCTTGTTGTAGTGGTAGTTTGGAAATGGTCAAGCTGGTTTTTCGTCACGTAAAAGCCGAATGTACAAATTATATCTTAAGTGAAAGGTTTACACCGTTATTTGTAGCATTATCGACTACTTGTATGATATTGTTGAGTTTTTGCTTTCGAAGGGAGCAGATGTCAATGTGAGCTTTGGAAAATACAATATTTCAATTCTTGCTTATTCATGCTTTTTTGGAAATGAAAACGCGGTGGATTCTTTAGTGAAAGGGGGCGCTAACATTAATGCTCCGATGGCAAACTTCGGTTCTGCACATTTCACATCGTATTTCGGCAATCTTCATCTTGTTAAGTACCTTATTAAGAACGGTGCTGATGTTAATAACTATGACAAAAATGGGAGATCTCCCTTGCATTATGCAATAGTTGGTGGTAATCTGGAGATAGTAAAGTGTCTTATAAAGAGCAATGCAAATGTCAATTTTTGTGACATAGATGTGAAGTCTCCACTAAATTATGCATCATATAAAGGACATCTAGAAATCGTTAATTGTCTGCTGAATTGTGGTGCAGATGTGAATTGTGGTGCAAGCTGTCTTTCTGCCGCATGTTCAAGTGGTCAGTATGATGTTGTAGAATTGTTGATTGATAAAATTGACATTAATAGAGTTGATGACTTTTGCGATCCCCCTCTTCATTCTGCTGCCAGTTCAGGTCATGTTGACATTGTAAAAAATCTTATAGAACATGGAGCTGATGTTAATCTGCTTTGCTCTTGTGGCAATCCACTTTACTGTGCCACACAAAATGGTCATTTACACATCATTGAATACCTTATGGAACATGGCGCTAATGTAAATCAGGGTTATTGTGGTGATAAAAATACGTCTCTTTTATGCTGTGCTTCTAGCAGAGGTTATCTGGAAATTGTGAAAGAACTGGTCAGATATGGTGCTGATATCAATGTCTGTGACAAAGATGGACGATCTCCATTATGCCTTGCAGCACGTGAAGGTCACGTGGGGATAGTAAAGTATCTTATAAACCGTGCTGTTAATGTAAATGTCTGTGATTTGCGTGGAAGGTCTCCACTATACTATGCGTCAGCTCGCGGTTATTCATATTATAAAATGTCTTATTCAAAATAATGCTGACCTACAAGTTGTTGCAAATTCTCTTTTGTCGCTTGTAGTAATGGTCATCATGACGTTGTTGAGTACCTTATCGATAAAGCTGACGTAAATAGAGTAAAGGCATCAGTGATCCACCTATGCATTCCGCTGCCAGTTCAGGAAAATCTTAATATCGTAGAATTTCTTGTTAAACATGGAGCGGATTTTAACTGCTCACCTCTGTTGGAAATCCACTTTACTGTGCCACAAAAAATAGTCATTTACATGTTATTGAATATCTTGTGAAACATGGCGCTAATATAAATCAGGGTTATTGTGGTGATACAAATACGTCTCCCCTATGTTGTGCATCCAGCAAAGGTTATTTGAAAATTGTGAAAGAACTGGTAAGACTTGGAGCTGATGTCAATCTTTATGACGAGACGGAAGATCCCCCTTTTCCATGCAGTATATGGAGGTCATTTAGAGATTGTGAAATATCTTATAAACAAGGTACTTAGCATAAATATATGTGACAGGTATGGGAAATCTTTATTATATTATGCTTCAGCTGGAGGACATTTAGATGTTGTACAATTTCTTATCAATAGTGATGCTGACGCTGATTATGATATCAGTTGTCTATTTGTTGCTTGCCATCGTGGTCATTATAATATAGTGGAGTATCTAGTTGACAAAGTGAAAAACATCAGTTCTTGTGACGGTTCCGGAAGATCCCCACTGTATTATGCATCTGCTGAGGGTCAGTTAGATATTGTTAAATGTCTGATTATGAATCATGCTGATGTGAATTGCGGTGCAAGTTGTCTATCAGCAGCTTCAAATCGAGGTCATTTCGACATTGTTGAGTATCTTAGCGATAAAGCAAATGTGAATGAGATACAGGGCTACAGCGATCCCCCTCTTCATTCTGCTGCCAGTTCAGGTCATCTCGACATTGTGAAATATCTAGTGGCACATGGAGCCGATGTTAATTTACTGAGTTTTTGGAATAGAGTCCCCTTTATTGTGCCACAAAGAAGGGACAGTTACACGTTATTGAATATCTTGTAGAACACGGTGCCGATATAAATCAGGGCCGGTGTGATGATATTAATACGTCTCCTTTATACTGTGCCTCAAGCAAAGGTTACCTGGAGATTGTAAAAGGATTAGTGAAACGTGGTGCAGATGTAAATATCTGTGACCTTAATGGAAATTCTCCACTATGTTACGCTTCAAGGTATGGTCATCTGGAAATTGTAAAGTTTTTGCTACAAAGTAATGCTGATTTCAATATCGGTGTAAGTTGTTTATCTGCTGCTTGTAAAAGCGGACATTTAGATGTTGTAGAATATCTTAGTAATATAATGGATGTTAACAAGGTGTATGACATTTGTGATCCTGCGCTTCATAGCGCTGCCGGTCAAGGCCACATTGATATTGTTAAATATTTGGTAGAAACTGGTGCAAATGTAAATTTATTAAGTTTTCATGGTTACAGTCCACTATGCTGTGCTGTAGAGAATAAACACCTTAGGGTTGTTGAATATCTTGTAGGACACGGTGCTCATATAGAAAGAGCTGTTCATATTGCACTTGAAGGTGATCAGAGACATATCTTAGATTTTCTGTTAAAACTTTTAAATTAAGGAATGAAAATATGTGAAATGAATGTATGTAGTATTTATATTGAATATATCCATATCCTTTCATATATACGTATGAATAATTGTATTGTATATACCACATAAGTGTACATGACAATGATTATGTTGTTTTTTTTCTAATCTATTTTTATCCGCTCTTACTTGTTTTATTTCTTTAAAATGAGCGTAAAAGTTTCCTTCAAGTTTACAAGGAGGTAGAAATTAGCGCACTAGAGATTGGGGAATTACGATTACGAATTAAACAAATAATTATTATAAGTGTAAAAATAGCGGGCAATTGTAAGCAAATGCCCAAAAATATTATCTCGCTATTATAAGTACGGCTACAGTATATTGTCATCACTATAACCTGCATCAATAAAGTTTGTCATTTATAGTTCATTTATCATAATTATGTGTATGGTGCTCTGTAAACCGCTTAATCCGAAACAGGCACATATTATCGTACACAATAAAAATACGTCATTAGATAGATAATATATAATTATAAATAATTGATAATATTAATTTAATAGTTTATTACAACAATCCTTACATGGAAAACGTAGATCAAAAACCTTATTGATAAACAGAAGTAGAAGTTCCTGACGAGAGATTAAGATCTGTTGTGAAGTCATTTTGAGCAAAATACATTTATCGGTTATATCTAATAATGAAGATAATTCAAACCCGATTTTTTTTTTTCATTAGTAGAAGCCTTAATCATGATATATCTTTTAAAAATTAAGAACTTTATTGAATAAAATCCGTAGTAATTTTTATATTAATATGCATATTTAAAGAAAAAAGAAAAATAATATATTTTTAAAGATTTTTTTTAAAGGAAGTTTAGTAACGAAGGCTAAAATATTGTCCGTGTACAGGTATAAGTACTTTGTTGTGAAAAAAAATGCTCGGGTTTGTTCTTCATGAGATATACATGTAAGCGATAATTTAATTTTTCGAAGGTGATTTCATGCGATATATCAACATAGGATTTTTTTTGTGTGACCAAACAAAAATTATTTTTTTAACTTTTGAATTCTGATATCTTTAAAAGAAATAGACTTTGGGGATATAACTTGACAAAAGTTGAAACAATTTATGGACAATTAGTTTTCAAGAAGAAAAACGAATATATTTTTAGAGATTAGAATTGGACCAAGCGGCTTTAATGACTTCCGATCATGAAATATTACATTTTATAAACGTGTATTTTGTATCGTTCGTCAATGAAGAAATGAATTTTCAATATTTACTTTCTATCGATTTGCAATGTTTGAAGTATAATTCTCCCTCTTGTTATTGTTCGTCTTAACCACCCAATATAGTCTTGCTGAACACGTTATACACGGGGACGTGATATTGATAATAATGGAAAACTGTCAACAATTATTTTAAAAGAAAGAGAACGTAGGGATCCTTAATTTTCACATTTTGTTATCGTCATAATTTCGAATACTATTCGTCATCTCCATTTAAACTGAAAGAAAAAGAAACGCCGGTAAACTTTTGAGACATTTCTTTTTTTTAGTATTTTTATCTTACTTTTAAAATTATCTATAAAGAAAATGTTACCAAACTTCCATTTGATCTTGTCTCCTAATTGATGAGTTATTGAAACTCATTTGACGATGCCCCACAAAGTGAAAATCGAAAAAAAACTAATTTTCAATATATCTCCTCCGCGCATCTGTCACAAACTTTATTCTCCTTTCATGGAATTCACCAGGTTAATTTTTCAAACCTGGCTATATTGGACATTGGTAACCACACCGAAAAGATAGTCAAAAGATGCACGCATGCACCAGTAAGGGGAACAAAAACGTAAAGTTGACCGGCTCAAACGAAAACTAGACCCTGTGGAGTAAAAATACGACATATGTGAACTCCCTAACAAAATACTATTTAACTGTTGTTAATTATGGTTAACTGTAGTTTACTAATTTGATCAAAGTTCTACAGTTTTCACCATAGTAAATCAAAGTTCTAAAGTTTTCATCATAGTAAGTCAAATACTAAAGTTTTCACTGTAGTTAATCAAAGTTCCAAAGTTTTCACTATAGTAAATCAAAGTTCCAAAGTTTACACCATAGAAAATCAAAGTTCCAAAGTTTTCACTACAGTTAATCAAAGTTCCAAAGTTTTCACAATAGTAAATCAAAATTCCAAAGTTTTCACTTTTGTACTAAAGTTACATTGTAACAATAGTAAACTATAGTTAACTATATTTACTATAGAATTTTTTTTAGGGCTTATAGGAATAAAATGATCATTTAACTACGATTTCTTGTGAATGTAAGATTGAATGTATTTAATAGGAAGAATAATCAATCTCACGTTTTCTGGGGTGGAGGGAGATGGGGGAATAGCGGATCAAAATTTCCAACTGTTGTATGTTATAGAACCTTGCGTTTTGATTTTGCTTATGAAATGTGTTTTTTCCAGATATTTGAATAATTATTAAACAAAACTTAAAAAGTAATAGACAAGAGTTGCAGGGTAAGGGGATGATTATGCAGGGCTTGAAAATGTCATTCTTATTAGTATTTTAAGAAATTTTAAGTAATTTATTACACATATGCATTACAATGGAAGCACATGCTTTTAAAAGACGTATTGTATTATGACTGAATTGAACGAATAACTAAAATTCCAAAGAAAATTCAATTTCCTTAAAGGTCTGGATAGCTTTATCGATAAAAAATGATTAATTATAACTATAACTATAATGATTTACTGTAAAGAAATACTTTGAGAAAATACATTGCTTTAATTTACCTTAAAAGCATTGCACAAATGAAAAAGAAATTGTTCTAAAATTTTATTTGCACATAATGTTTCAAACCATGTGAAATCAATAATTTTTGGAGGAGGGGATAATATTCTTTTTTTTTCTATGAAGAAATCAACGAACTTTGCCCACCACGATAGTTAAAATTTCACGGATCTTTTTTTTTAGTTATTTACGTATTATTTTTTTTTACAGTTTTTAACAACAGAATCATATCCTCACACATTCATTGTTTTCAACGAACTACATTCATATGATCCCCACAATACTATTTGATTTACAGTACATTTGCATACATATCCTTAGAAATGAACCTTAGAACTATACTACTTTTTTTCTTGAAAATGATACTCAAATGTGTATTTTCTTTCCTATTAATTATATGAATATCCTTTAAAATTGAATATACGTACATGTAGTAGGAACGACATAGACCGTACCCAGGATTACGTTTGCTTTTATCAATAGTTAATCATGCATTTGACAAAGTATATTTTCTTAATTAGATAATTCATATTTTTGTAAAATAAATGTTTCAAAATATGCATAAAAATGCTAAAACACATGTAGATGCTGACGCTTTTCTTCACAACTATATGTACGGAATAAGAATATCAGCTGTTTTTATTTTTCATCATATTCTGCCATAGATGATAACTGTATTTAATCACTCAGCTTTTCTGACTAAGAGTGGTTTTGACGGATGATCCTGAATCTCCTCAGAGTTTGTATTCTCTGCAGGTTCAACGCCCTACTAGTATTCTAATTATAGAAATTAAAAGCAAACGAAAATTTGAAGGTTTAATTCAAACTACACATATATCAACAGCATATTAGAAGATTAGTAATATAACAATGCTAAAACCTGTGATATTTTAAAACTTGAATTTCACCATCTATGAATAAAGTTTTTATTTAAAATTTGTCTTCATTTTCATTTCATCATCCCACCAGAGTTAGAATTAATGAAGGAAGTCTAGGATTGGTGCGGCTGTCAGGGTTTGAACCCCACAGAGTTTGTACTCCCTGCACATACAACACTGAGGTAACTCCAAGGTCTCCAGTTCAAATCGATGACTGGCAGGACAGAAAACCCACACATTGAAGAAGCGGTGTCGGTCAGGCAGACAAGCACTTGTTACATCATCAGTCTTCGAGCAGTCCCTGTAAAGATTTTTCATTGTCAAGTACAAGTTGTAGAGATTTACGAACGAAATCTTTAAAAGAGTGTTTGTTTGCTATTTCCCAACTCAGGGTAAAATTATTGGGTCGGGTTTGTGTTGGTTTTTTTCCCCAAGAAAATTTCAACATATTTGTTGACGGGATACATGTAAGGGGAATAAATATAAAATATATAGTTTTCTGGAATGTTAAAGGAAGGTTGAGTCGGACAATTTTAACTACGGCGGTTGGGACAGGACAACCAACATTGTTTTGAAGATGTATTATACAAAAAAGATCAGGTTAGAGTGCTTAAAGAAAGGAGTAAAGTTTTAAAAAATAATTTTAAAAAATAAAAGAAAAAATTAAGACAGATGGAATTGATTATGGATTTTTGAATAATACTTACTTCTGGTAATCACACTTTGCGTATGTTACACACTGTCGGTTAGGATATACAACGTAGCATG